CACCCCGATCGCAGCTCATCCGCCTCATGCAGGACAGCGAGGATCTTCATCCAACGCACCGATAATCCCGCTCAGTTCTGGCCCGTTACGCGCAGGCGTTCCGGACACTGGAGCTGCGGGTGTCTCGTTGCGCGCCGGGTAACCAGACGCGCCGCTATTCAGCTGTCAATCATGCAACAGGTGGGCGCGCGGACAGGTAACGGAGCTGATGCGGGGATGGAGACGGAAATGACACCTTTATCATTACATAGTGTCCTGAAATGACACGGGAGCGAAATGCAATCTGGGTCATTAGTCTCGTGCGCTTTTGGCACCGGGTTGAGTTTTAGATGTGAAAAGCGCGTGTTAGTCCCGCCGTGAGATCTGGATGAGGGTCATACGATCAGGGAACGGAGTTTATCCGTCCTTTCAGCGCCAAGATATGCATCGAGCCAACAGAAACACGACAAAACGGCCTGATCAGTCTGGACTGGAACCAGAGGACAGGAGCGGCCCAGAGCAGCACAAACACACACTACCATGCTGCCATCTGTGAAAAGAGAGGGTAATACTGTGGTGCTTGGTGCTGAATGATGCCAAATATAAATATGTCACTTCAAATTGCTTCACGATAATCAATCAATCCATATATACATAAATACCCAAAAATATTATCACTGTGGTACCATGTCTGAAAATACCATAGTACATGTAAAGTGGCGTCCAATAAAACTTTATGCACCTTTCTAGTAAATAATGTAAACAATTGTTTAGCCTACACATCACTATTAGCCTACTCACTGACACAAAAAATACTCATTTTAATGCTATATATATATATATATATATATATATATATAATGCATTTTAATGATTAACACACACACACATATTCATATAGTTTTTGGTCAAATTTGACAGTAAATTTTTACATTACTGAAAAAAAGTCATTTTAATGGTAAAAGACTAAAAATGCTACCGCAAAAAAAAAAAATTAAATAAATAAAAATAGTTAATTAGTTAACTGCAATGTGTTACTTTGTGAAGATTACTAGGCATTTCTGAGTGAAAACGGTTTAAAAATCTTTTTCACTGTATGGTGAACAACTTTTATACAGGTATAAAACAAAAGTATTCATAGTATTAACATTATATTAGTTAATATACATTATATATTTTTTACTGTAAATTTCAGCCCTCCCTACCTCTCTTTTTTGGAATAAATTTAATAGATTATTTTATTTATTGGTTACTTTTAACTTGGGATACTGATTCATATAATTTCACATTCATAAACATCTGAAAAAAAAAACAATACTTAAGACATTAGACATAACCAAAATCAGTTCAACTTTCACACTAATTATAATGTAATGTAACTTATAAAGTGTTACTGCTCTTATAGTTACATTTTTGCATATTTTTATCCATTGCACTGTAGCTTCTTCTTCAGTTCTAATAACATATTCTCTTTCTCTCTATATGAATCCATTATCTGTCTACATTATTATACATTCAGAGAGAAATGTTTTTATGAATGTTTTTGCTCAGAAGCTGCAGTCAAAACACAGATCATCCAAACATCACGTGCTCAGCCATGAAACTGGTGTTTATTTCACTATTCCACGAAGCAATAATATATAAAGGCATTGCCACATTGCTTTAATTTATACAGACTTTAATAGCTTTATTTACAGATGAACTCTGGTCTTTCCTATATTTGCGTGTGTGTGGGTTTTTTCCAGTCTTGACTGTTTAGCATCTACGAGTGAAGGAACCACTTCACTGTCTGTTTGACACTCTGGAGTTTAAAAATGCAACCCAGATAAAAGGCCCAATGATTGTGCAGGAGGGAGAATGACCGCAGTGCTGATTGGACGTGTGCATGAGGGGGCGGGGCTACAGTCAGACTGCTGGACCAATCTGAGGGAGATGATGATGATGATTATTAAGAGAGAGAGAGAGAGAAAAGGCACATCCAAACCAAAAGAAGTAAACAAAAGAAAAGAGAGGAGAGGAGAAAAATGGTCAGTTCACCCAAAAATTCATTAATTGTAAATTTTACTCACTCTCATGTTGTTCCAAACCTATCGAAGCCTGTTTCTGCCACGGAATATAACAATTTAAAAGGTAATTGCGACTTTTTATCTCACAATTCGCACTTTTTCCTCACAAATCTGAGTTTATATACTTGTTTTCTCAGAACCGCAAGATATAAACTTGCTGTTCTGAGTACAAGTCAGAATTGTGAGTCAAAAGCTAAGAATTTTGAGATATAAACTAGGAATTCTGGGACACGAATTCAGAATTATGAGACAATCTCAGAATTATGAGACAAATTCAGAATTATGAGATACAAACTCAGAATTATGAGATACAAACTCAGAATTAGGAGATACAAACAGATTTATAAGACACAAACTCAGAATTATGAGATAAAAACAGAATTATGAGATACAAACTCAGAATTATAAGACGTAAACTCAGAATTATGAGACAAACTCAGAATTGAGACAAACTCAGAACAATGAGACAAACTCAGAATTGAGACAAACTCAGAATTATGAGACAAACTCAGAATTGAGACAAACTCAGAATTATGAGACAAACTCAGAATTGAGACAAACTCAGAATTATGAGACGAACTCAGAATTATAAGACGTAAACGCAGAATTATGAGACAAACTCAGAATTGCAAAATAAAAACTCAGAATTCAGAGGGAAAAAAGTCAAAATTGTGAGATATAAACTAGGAATTCTGAGACAAATTCAGAAATTATGAGATACAAATTCCGAATTATGAGATAGAAACTCAGAATTACAAGATATAAATTAAATTCAGAGAAAAACTCAGAATTGTGAGATATAAACTAGGAATTCTGCGATACAAATTCAGAATTATGAGACATAAACTAAGAATTCAGAGGGAAAAAAGTTGGAATTGTGAGATATAAACTAGGAACTCTGGGACACAAATTCAGAAATTATGAGATACAAACTCCGACTTATGCGATAGAAACTCAGAATTACGAGATATAAATTCAGAGAAAAACTCATAATTGTGAGATATAAATTACAAGAGAAAAAAATTCTGACTTTTGTTTACAGAACTGCAAGAAACAAAGTCAGAATTTATTATTATTTATTTATTTTTTTTTTTCATGGTAGAAACAAGCTTCCACACCATTCTGCATTATACGAGGAAAGCCAGTTCCTTTGTACACAGAAAGAGCAGCGTGAACATTCAGCTAAACGTCTCCTGCTGAAGAAATGAAGTCAGACAAGTTTAGAACAACATAAAGATGACGGCGTTCTCAGTATGGGATGAACTAATCAAAACGGAGGAATGGCAAAAGATGGATAAAGAAAGAGAGTGAGAGAGACAGAAAGATGAAGGTAGTGTGGACTGAGGAGATGATTTGGGGGTGGGATTGGGTCAGATAAGGTGCTTTGGCCCCTCAGGTTGGACTCAGTTGCTAAGCAACAGTTCTGTCGCCGTCTCCACGTCCCAGGATTTCGACGACAACGCCACTATTACTGCGTTCTGAGGAGAAGAAAAGATCCAGACGTCAGTGATTCTGAGGGAGGAAACATCACATCACAATCACAGGCTGCGTCACATTTACTTTCCCTCATAATAATAGTGAGCAAAATTACATTAGAGCATCCTGAGGCACAGCGCACACTTTCTGGTCAAATCTTTCACACAGAAGTGCAACAGAAAGACGAGTCTGTGATGATTCTCCTTCAACTTGGAGAAAGACTGCAAGAAATGTGATGCACACCAATGTATGGAAGCTTGTTTCTGACAAAAAAGGTAACTGCAACTTTTTATCTCACAATTCTGACTTTTTTCTTGCAATTCTGTGCTTATTTTTGTTTATTAGAATTGTGTGATACAAACACAGAATTGGGAGATATATACATTTGCAATTCTGAGAAAAAAAATAATTGTGAGCTATAAACTCAGAATTATGACTTCTTGTTTCCATAAAATAAAAAAAATTGAATCTTTATCTGACGATTCTGACATTTTTCTCAGAACTGCGAGTTTATATCTTACAATTTATAGCTCGCAATTCAGACTTTTTCTGTAATTCTGCGTCTATATCTTGAAATTTTGAGATATAAAGTCAGAATTGTAATATATAAACTAGAGATTAAACAAAATAAAAATTTTGGGCCGAAACATTCAGGATGCACTTGGCAAAAATGACGTTTTTAAAACGTGTTATTTTTCTCAGAAAAGTGCATTGCACATTCACTATATTAACACTGAATAAACATGTCAAAAATAAATAAATAAATACATAAACAAATAAATGCATACATAAAGTATCATATTCCATTAAATGTTTTTGTAGAATTGTTTTAATATTAAACATTTTAATGAATTTAAAATTAAATTAAAATGTCTAATATTAATACAATTAAAACCCAAGCACCAAAATAAAAAAAATATATTTAATAATCAATTAATTAATCAAATTTTTTTTAATCAGCACTCAAATAAAACATTTTAATTGCAGTTTTTATTGCAACTTTTTAATAACATAATCATGTTTCTACTCCAGTTTTTTTTATATAAATTAGATATTCAATAAATTAAAATTTTGGGGACGAAACCGAACATTCAGGATGCACTTAGCCAAAAACTAAAAAAGAATTTTTTTAAAACTTGCTAATTTTTCTCAGAAAAGTGCATTGCACATTCACTATATTAACACTGTATAAACATGTAAAAAATAAATACATACATAAAATATCCTATTCCACTAAAAAAAATATTAAATTTTTTTAATTTTTTTAAAACTTGCTAATTTTTCTCAGAAAAGTGCATTGCACATTCACTATATTAACACTGTATAAACATGTAAAAAATAAATAAATAAATTATATAATTATATTGTATAATTAGACATTAACAAATTTAAAATTAAATTCATTAAAATGTCTAAAATTAATACAATGAAAAACCAAGCACCAAAATTAAAAATGTATTTAATAATCAATTAATTAAT